TATCTTTCCTGCAAATTTTTAATAAGTGGTGACCTCATCATCCTTTCTCTGCATCTTACAAGCTACGCTTCATTGGACTGACTTCGGGCCACTTCCCATATTCTCAACATGTGTAACACTCTGGACCTTCAACAAATTTTTAATCCTATTTCTGGTCATAATTACGCATTGGATCTCCTGTTTGCACTTCACAGTCCCGTTACTACCACTGTTGTCTTTGAAACAATTATTCCATCTGACAAGCATCATTTACCTAGCACATTCTACATTTACTAAGCTCGCAATAGTTATTTAACGAACCCGATTACAAGCTGCAGAAACTTCAAGAACTGTGACTACCGAACCATTTGCCTGAAACTTGATTAAGTGATTTGGCCACTACTATTGCACGTGGGATCTATTGAAGATTGTGTTAAGTGATTTTACAACATCTTACACGGCCTCATCGAAAATTTTGTTCCTGTTCATCGTATCGCACATTTCAGGTCACCCGTACGGTTTACACTGGAACTGCTTGGCCTGATCCATCAGAAAAGACATGCTCATTAAGTTTGAAAGCATACCTATGTATTAACAGAATTCATTACATTCAAGAGACTTAGAGCTGGATGCCTCTTATCTTGAGCATTATATAAGAAATTCATGGTGAATTCAGATTGGGCCTAAGACATGATATTCAGCAATTTTGTAAGTTTATCAAAGTTGGCTTGCTCTAAACACAATCAATTTCCAGATACACTAGCTCCTATGTATAAATTCAACTTACTGGCTAAACACTTCTTCTCAGTTTATAAGCATCCCTCATTTATTCTAATTCAAATCATTCAGTGCTCCATAGACATTGACTTTATTTTCACCCCTTCAAATATTCTTAGTGCTGTCTCACAATTGCAAAATTTAGACCAACTAGGGCCATATTTTGTTCAATTTTCTTTCATTATTAATTGTTCTTTAAGTATCTATCACCCTCTGGTTTTATTTTCTCTAAAACTGTGGCTGAAAGCATCTTCCCAAGTGCTTGGAAACATATATATATATAT